CTACAGCCGGCACATTATACTGTAACATAGTGGGAGCAGCAGCACAAAGTGGTTCAGCCTGACTGAACAAATAAGACTAATATCTTACTAAGATGTCTAACTATGATGGTCTTTAGTTTTTGCCTGGCTTTGCCTTTTTAAGAGACTAACCAACCACAAAATGTTTTTTTGTTTTGGGTATCTGTAAATGAAAAAAATATATAAAGAGTATGCAATGTCATTTTTCAACAGCATATACCAAAAAAAAAAAAAAAAAAGAACAAGTCTTGTGTACATATGTGTAACTATATGCAGAATGTACAGTATCTTCATTTTTGCAAATGTCTGTTGGGCTGTTTTTCTCTCTTTGTCTTTGCCTCCTACCTACACCAGCTTCATCCCCAACCCGTTTGCAGGCAGGATGGTGTTAGGTTCAGGGTGTTTGGGTGTACGTTGTAGTACTGAGTGTAGGGTATCCAGTCTGAGTCATACCTCCTGACATTCGGCACGTGCAAGTCAGCACGAACCGCCCAGCTGGGGAAGGTCTACACCCCCTCCCCCAGCCTCACCCTCTTACTATTCCTCACAAAGAGAAAGAGAGGAGTGGTTTGGGAGGGAGGAGAGAGAGAAAAAAATGGAAAGGTGGTGATGGGTGTTGGGGGGGGCTGGTAGGCAGGGTGGAGCGGCAAAAAAATAACGAGGAGGAAGAGGCGAAGAGGAGGGGGGCGCTGTTTTTTAAGAGGCAGCTCTTTGTGCTTGAGGTTTGGGACATGAAAAGAAGGCAAGGAATGTAATTAATATACAGCACAGCCTAAGTTAGACAATTTTGAATCTGAGACAAGACAGTGGAGCACAGAGAAAGCAAATGGACAGAAAACAAGTAAGCTAAAAATGGTTCACAGCAATAAAAGTACACTGTGTACCGCTACCTGCCAGGCTAATGTGTGCCAAGTCAAGAAAAAGAGCTGAGTTGTCAAATCTGATGGGACAGTGATGTAATCATTAACAGAATATAGTAGTTACAAATGGCAGAACATTCCTGAGGGGTGGAACTCATCAGTCTGAAATACCAAGTGATGAGTTTTGCGGGATAATATTTTGGGGCTACAACAGAAATTTGTCAGACTTGAGAGACAAACACAGAGAAAAAGGGAGAGAAACCTTCCTCAGTTCTGCACAGTGGCTGGTTGCCAGCCTTGTCTCTCTCAGGACGTGGGCTAAGATTAGCTTCCCATATGTTCAAGTCAGGCGTAGCAGGACTTAAAGGGCCAGTACGCAACTGTGGCATAACTGGAAAACCTTCACTGTGCCTAATGAAGCTGCATATCATCAAACATAGACATGTAAAATCCTGGTCAAAATATCCTTTTAATAATTCAAATGAAAGACAAGTTCACAGCAGATAATAGGTGGATGAGAGCTTTCGAAACTGAGTGCAGGCAGTGCAGTTCTGAGCTACTGCCACTTTCATACCTTGTCTCACAATATAATCAGTCCTATACTCCAATTTTTTTGGAGGTGACATCCTCCAATAAATCCAAATTAATATATAGTTCAGAAATCAACATTTTCTTGTGGGTGTTTCAATAGTGTGTGATAAAAACGCCGACAGCTGTTGCACTGTATTACATAAAACCTGGCAGTGTCTGGCAGCAGTGGGATTCAGGACTGTATAAACTGTGTGCCCGGTGGGAGCAGCAGAGCAGGCGCCAGAGAGGTGAGAGTTAAAGCGCTCGAGCAACAGCTGAGGGCTCCTCCCCCTTCTCTTTCCATTCATTTTTTATTAACTGCGGCACCAGGCGGCTGACAACCTCCCTCCGACATCAAACACAGATACCACCAACGATGCCAACAAGCCACCAACCACAACTCATCGTGCCATGCAGGATATCGATCGAGCCCAGGACTCAGAGTGGACAGCTATGGTCTCAAGTACATACAGAACTGCAAGCAGTGTAGCATAACAGACAGCGCAGACTCGAATGTCTGCTAATTGTCATTAATTAGAAATGAAACATGACAACAGGGCAGGGCTTAACAAGTCTTTATATATTCATGATTGCATGCAAGTGAGGCAATTGTTGGCAACTATATACACTAAAGGGTCACATGGAATCCCATGAGGACAATAAGATGTGATGTTTTGAAATCCTTGGAGTGTCTTTAATAAAATAGTTATTTTAAAACTCTTAAAGGAAGGCTGATTGAAAGCACCTTCACCACAGATACAGGAGTTTCTAGTGCTGAGCAGCAGCTGACTCTTTCTGGGTGTGCATGTAAGGCTGCAGTCAAGGTTAAAAAGGTAAATGGCTTATCAACTGTAGAGAAGGGTTCACCTTGAACTTAATTCATATCATCAATACTATCAGGGTGGAAGAAAATGTATAACAATACTGTTTGGTCGTAAGTGAGGAACATAAATATACAAAATCTTTTCTGGATGTGTAGAAGGGACAACATGTACTAAATCTTTGAATATATTTTTGATAGTGATGTAGTCGTAGTAATGTGACTGTTAACAGAGCTATGCCATCCAAGACCAAGAGAAAAGCACAAATGACAAATACCGCATTTTACAGAATGTTACAGTTTTTAATCTAAAAGATTATCTTAAACTGCCAACGCAGTTTCATTGCAACTGTTAGAGATCTTGAAATGCCTTTCAGTATAACTCAGTATCCTCAAACAAGAAGTAATATAGAAGAACAGAATTAGTTCTTCACTTTTTATTAAAAAACATTTGAAGTGAAGACCAAAGCAAGTACAAGAAACATGAGTCCCAGAGGAAAATCTCTACCAAACAGGCCCACGTCTACTGCGTACTAGTATAATTACTGAGTGTATGTCACAGCTTACTCACATTGTAATCATCTATTAGAAGGTGCGTGTCATGGCACATGGGTAACAGAGTTGCAGTTCTTTACCTGACTCAGTGGAAAGGTAACAGAACAGCAAATACATCGAAAGCTAGAGTGAAAGGAAAAGGTGATGTCAAACCCTCCACTTCCTGAGTCTGTACTACATACCAAAACCACTTACTACACAAATACACACACATATACACATGTAGTGCCGGCTAGTTGGTCATGTGACCAACCTTGGATGCCGGACTTGAGCTAAAATTAAAGCAATGATGTCATCAGACATTCAGTGTTGCCACGGAAACTAGGTCAGTGTTAACCCTTTGCGAACGAGGCTGGGGATTCCACACACGCAAAGCTCAACATATGATTAACAAACATTCCATCTGCCGTCACGCACTCACAGGTTTGAGTCTTTCAACTTTGCTTGTGACTCTTTCCCACCTGTGTGAAGCTCATCTCGTACAGAAAGAGGAAATCCTGTGCATGGGCGTGGAAAACATCGCACGCGTGCAGTCTGTCTGTCGTGTAACCTGTTGTGGTAAACTCCTTATTCAGTTTTTCTTCCTGAACAGCAAAGAAAACTACCACACAAATGCTGCGCTGTAAAACTGAAATAAATCATTCAAAGTGCTGCTTGACTCACTAGTAACCACGTCTATTGTCACACGATGTTTTTACATTCCAATTTCTTGGAGTTGTTGTGTGGGTGCTGAAAATACTTAATGATACTGTATAAGTGCTTATTTGAATTGTCGAAAATAGTGCCCTGAGCTTGTTGGGTGTAGACCATATTTGTGTGTGTATAACCAGGGAAGAGATCTTGCCGAGATAAACACTCCACCCAGGACGTGCACGGCAACCAAGACTCTACAAACAGGAGGTCAGGACAGCTACAAAGGCAGAGAACTTGTTAAACAAAGGAGAGGACAGTTCAGTTATCTTTCTCTTTAACCAGATGGTCGCATATACCTTGTAGATAAAGACTGTCTGCATATGGACAGGGATTAAAGCAGGCTTAGATGTAAGCTACAGTAGGCCATTGAACTGAGCTAAACCCATTTATGACATTTGAAACTGATTGACTAACCTACATTTCACTGCAGTCATGCAGATGAATGTGTTGCCCAAAGTAAATGTCGAATGTCTGATCTTGTCACTTTCACATACAGTATCTAGGTGCAACACTGAAATGACTCTCTATGTATGTGATGGAAGTCGAATCAAAGCGTTCTTTCTTCTGGGATACGACATCACAAGATTCTTATAACTCAGACAACAGTTTGTTTGATGCTCAATAAATCCTTTCTTTATGAAGCCTCGCCGCCTTTCCACACTCCTTCCCACATAAACACACAAGCGTGCCTCGACTCGGCAAGCTGTAGAACAGCAGCTCTCAGCGGCCACACGCCACAGGTTACTACGCCCGACAATCAAACACGTACGCATGCGTGACCCACTAACTTTTACTCCCTTTACCTCATTTGACTCCAGAACCTAGGAGAAGCAGGACGGCCCCCCTGGCTCCTGAGCCAGCGCGCAGGGTTCCTCCTCCTCCTCCCTCCTCCTTTCCCTGGTCTCTTGTATCTACACATGCCTGGCTCTGGCACCAATCAGCGGGCAGCGTGGGACGCTTTAAACTGAGGATGCCGCCACTTCATCACCGAGGCGCTTAGCTCACCACGGATTGGAGATAAAGCCGAAGAAACTCAGCTTCCGAGCGGTGAAACTTTGGCGGAAAGACAGATGCCTAAAGGGATCTAACGCACCTGTATTCCACCTCGCAGTGATATGAGCGCTAATATAATGAGCTTGTGTAGTCGCCGCGGAGAGCAGAAAAAAGTTAAATGACATCCTTGCAACACAGCGGGGATGATCGCAGCTTTCAATTTGTAATCGTTTTCAGTGGGTAAACCTATTTATACAAACATACATAATACAACTGACATGGTGTAATCACATGTGAAAGAGTGTGCATGCGAACTCATAGAGAACAGGAACTGGTCACAGTGTTGACTAACCGCGACATTTTCACTTCACTGCGCTGATGACCCAACAGCTGAGAATCACAACAACATGGCCAGAGATTATGCACTTGTGACAGAGATGACAGACACAAACACAACCCCACAGCAACACAAACCCAATGCCCTCTCTTACCTCAGCTGCCAGTTCAGGGTTTCCCAAGCAGCCTTGACTGTTGTCTTCAAAATATTCCACCTTTACAGACATCCAACAGAACAAGAGAGGGGGGGAGAGAGAAGGAGACAGAGAGAGATGGGAGGGGGTGAGAATAACAATCAATAGAATAATGCGACAAGGGCCTTTTCAGAAAGACTCGTCATTAAGGACAGTGCAACTACTGAAGATATTCCACCTTTACAGCCGTGTAGAATGGCTACACAACATTTACGCCATCCCACACGCAATCTCCTTATCATTCCTGTCATCCTCAGCAACCATCAAAAAGCTGCCGTGCACAGAAATCTCTTTTCTCTTTAATTTGTGCTCAAACAGTGAGCCGGCACTTCCCTCTACTGCTGGGACGGCGAATGAGACGCAGCAAAAACGAGATTCAATTTCAATTATGGAATTATGTAATGTCTGTATCCTGACCTGGTGCAGCCTGCCTGATGTATACATTTCACAAGTCTGCATAACCCAGTTTTTTTTTTTTTTTTTTTAAAGGGTAAAGTGATATAGCATGCAAAGTGTCAGTGGCCAGGTTAGTGGAGATGGAATAGATGGAAATGGTTCATGAAAGCAGAGCTGATTATTGTAAAACAATAGCATCTTCTTATTTTGCACAGCATGTACCCCCCCCCACCACCACCCCTCCTGTCTACATGGCCCTGGCTGTCTCGGTGTTAAATGATGTGTTTTGTCTCGAGCTGTTCCCCCAGTCCCGCCAACCTCCAAGCCCCCCTCTCATCCCCCCCCCCAACCCACCCACCTATCAATCCTAAAATAGTCTGGAGTGATGAATATTTACCCTCCAAGCCTCTGAGCTGCCTTGGTTTGTACTCCTCCGTCCGCTGGCCGAATCCCCATCAGAAGACTCCGGCTCCCTCTCGTCCTCACCCCTCTCCCTCTGTCCCTTTCTTCTCTCTCTTTCTCTCTCTCTATCTCTCCACTCTTCTTTCTCAGTCTCTCTCTCTCGTCTGTGTTCCAGCAGCCCATTCAGGAAGCCATCTTGTGTTTTTAATCTGGTTTTACATGAGCCCTCGTACGCACGTTCTCTCTCTCTCTCTCTCTCTCTCTCTCTTTCTCTCTCTCTCCCTCTCTCGCTTGCGCTCTCGCTCGACCCCCCTCCCTCCCTCTCTCCCTCCTGCTCTTATGCCAATAGGTCTACCGCACACACGCTCACGCAGACGCACGCACGCACAAGAAGCATTTTTTTTCTATCTGATCGCTATCACTGCTTCCTCCCACTCGTTCACTTTTTTTTTTTCTTTCTCCTTCTGCACACATGATGTGAATGTCCCCTCAACCACCCCCTCCCTCCCTCCCTCCCCTGGTCTTTTTTAAACATATACACTCGTGAACAAATGCACACACATTTACAAATACACACACACACACACACACACACACACAGAGCTTGCCGGAGAGACGTCACGCTACAGATAGCACACAAAGGCAGTCTGTCCGCCAATCAGAGGCCGGCTGGGCTCTGCTGCTAGGGTGAAACTGAAGGAGAGCAAGTGAGGGCGGCGAGAGAGAGAGATAGAGAGAGAGAGGGAGAGAGAGAGAGGGAGAAACTGGAGCTAGGAAAAAGAGGAGGTCAAAATAAAAAACACAAGGGTCTGTGAGTATGTGTTTGTATGTGTGTGTGTGCAGCACCATAAAAGAAAGGCTGACATAAAGAAACAAAGTGAAGGTGGGCGGGAGGTGTGTGGGTTTGTGTATGTGTGTGTGTGTGTGTGTGTGGGTTTGTGTGTGTGTGTGTGTGTGTGTGTGGGTTTGTGTGTGTGTGTGTGTGTGTGTGCGTTGGGGGGGATGGGTCCTCTCTATGCCTGTCAATTATCTCCTCGAACTCGCCATCCCTAAACAATGCCTCTGGTATGTGGTATCGCTGAGCACCATCTGTGTCTGGGCTGCCTGCAATAACTGGACTGGACTGCACAGTACAAACACACACACACACACACACACACAGACACGCGCGCGCACACACACGCACTCCCCCAATCTTGACAGGCAAAATGCACAATTACACAGCAAAGCCCACCGTGCTGACTCAAAACGAGTGAAGACACATGAAATGAGTACAGCGTAGTTACAAGACAAGTCATTAAAGCTCCATAAAGTAAAGTTATGTGTCATAACATCACAGATCATCAGCTGGGATTGTGTTCACGTATGCAAATCAGTGATCTGCGAAGGAAAGGCAGCCAAAAGCTTTCACTTAAAAGGAAAAAAAACTGCCGGGGACTCACATGTTCTTTGTACAGTCTACGCAAGAATGGCATACCAAGCATATTTTGGAGGCCTGTGATCAGAATGTTTACACTCTGAGCATGAAAGATCATCTCCAGCTTGCATCTCTTTAAAAGCAGACATCAGCACACGTTCTTGCCAAAGTCCTATACACAACCACAAAAGCCAAGGGGAAATTGTTTGGTCCATATCAGCAATCGGGTTCTGCAGGCAAGGTGCATTTCTCCTTTTTTAACGAAGCCCTCTTTAAAACAAAAAGCTGTCACTGATCAGGTTTTGTGAAACGGGAAGTTTGGCAAAAAACAAACAAACAGTGTGGCAAAGCTTTTCTGTTAAGATATGAAAAACAGCGATGGCGTGCGAGAGTGAAAAGGGGGCTGCTATATTAGAAAAACGCAAAAAGACAGAACAAAGTCAGCAAAAGTTCAGACTGCCGGCGAAGACATGGCGGATCGAGGTGAAACGGACAGACAGCGAAAGGCAGACAGAGACGGGGAGAATCGAAAAAGAGAGAGGGAACTGAAGTGTGGCGCGGTGAGGCGAGGCAGCCACACAGTGACACAGCGTTTGTAGTTTCTGTCTGACGCTCTCATATGGCATGGGAAATCCCCTCTGCTGACGTCACAAGGGCCACGTGTGGGTATGAATGTGTGTGAGTGTGTGTGTGTGTTTATGTGTGAGCAGAGGCGTGTTTGTGGTGAGCTGGACAGCAAGAGCGGCTGCTTGGCTTCGGCGTGCTTCGTTACAGGTGGGCCGGGGTAGCTGTAGCGGTACTAACAGCGTAGTCACAGTGCAAGCGCACAAGTGATAGATGTTACGCATGAGAAGATAGACTTCACAATTATTGTTCAAGTAATGAATTTATTACTATTTGTTTGAATAGAGGTATTCATATAACAAGTAGAACCTACAGAAATAGCAAAGTAGTGGTTATAGGAAAAGAAAGTGAAATATCGTATCCACGATTAAGCATTCACCGAACTGTGATTTAAATGTTGGGAAACACCCACGAAGGGATGACCGTTTCTCAATGAGGAAAAAGTAATGCAAAACACACGCCAGCCAAGAGTATACGTTACTCGTTGAGACTGTCCCAGCCTCCGACAGACACCTGGCAATCACTGACTGAGCGTAATCACGCACAGACACAAATCCTATCTACTCCGAGACAGCGTCATAATCCTGACATGCCCGTGCCTTCATTCAGCTTCACTTCATTCACACACTGCCTACTCACCTAATCTAACAACAGATTAGAGCCTCCCCTGACCCGCAAAAAACTCTCATACAAACACAGTCACCACACCCAGACACAGCAGAGTGAGGCTTATTATTAAAGCTGTGCTGATAGTGTGTTGTAAAAATCTGCATTTGGCTACAGGAGGATGGACAGTGCACAAGGGTGCTGGAGTAGTTTGCCTGCAATTAGACAAAGTCTAATTAGTGGTATTAATTAAGCTAGGATACCCTACTCCTTATAGAGACAAAAGCAGTGCACATCCTTCTGTTAACCCTAATCCTCTATTTCATGCACATGAGCAATTACAGTCACCTGTCTCAAGTGGTTTAACTGCAAAGAAACCTCTAAGGCATCCTGAGCACATTACTGACTATCAGGAAACTCAACCAGGCTGTTAAGTATGATGTTACATGAACGTAAAGGCTCATGGGTAGTATGAGATGTTGTATCCAGACACATACTGAGGCAGATTGCTGTGGTACTACAGTGATCTGCAGAGCAGTTGTCACAGGAGAAGATGGAGGATGTGGCAGATCTATACAGAGGTTAAATGGCAGAGATGGAGGGACTGTGGGGAAGGGATATTGATGAATGGATGGATACTTGGTTAAGAACTGTTTATGGAGAGAAGCGGCACATCATGCACATCTTCTGATTCTCCAGCTACGTTCACCACTGTCAGGAGAAATAGTGGACAAATAAAAATCACTGAGGGCCATACTAGTATTGATGAAATGTGATGAAATTGTTCTCATTCTGTAACAATACAGCACACGTGTATATTAAACATCATGATAGGCAGTGTCACAGGCAGGGTCCGGCTATAAGGAATCTTGGCCTTGCTGTGTGGCTGTCTTGGCCTAGCCATACAAATACTTGCTTTCTGACTTGCTGTTCTGTGATCAATATGAAATGCATAACTGAACAGATCTAGTGAAACATGCTGACTGAAAATTTTAATTCATGTTACATTTACATTTTGATTACTTATCTGACACACGCAACTTGACATGACTGCTGATCAATATGGCATTAGTGCATTGCAACTGTGCATTTATGCAATACTAAGAGTCTAGCCACGGTGGCAGCTTAGTGAGGCTGAGCTTCAAGCTAAATTCTTCAGTCAGCATGCCAACATGCTTAAAATGGCAATGCTGACTAGCTGGTCTTTAGAAGGTTACTCACCGTGTTAGTTTAGGGTGCTAGAATTTGCTCTAAGCACAAAACACAGCTGAAAATGTTCGTGCTTTTGCAGGGATTTGGTCATAAACTACCCAGTGATTTGCTATACCTGCTTCATCCTGCAGAGGGACATGGGAGCCTGGAGCCCATCCCAGCCGACACTGAGCTAGAGGCAGGTGCACCCTGGACACATCCCATAAAACCAGAGGTGTTATAATAAAATTTGTAATTACGCCATTGCGCTGGAGACAGCTGTGGCTGGAGGCATACTTTTTTTAGGTCATCAATCTGTCTGTTCCATTCTTATGAATGCAATATTTAAGAAGTGTCTGAATTTCTTCAAATCTGACACAAACAGTCACCTAGATTTAACAACAAGCTTATTAGATGTTGCTTTACAAAGATCGATTTTACTGTAACTTCACAGAACACTTTTTGGCCAGAACTCACAAATCCATACACTAATCATGGCAAAAGTTTACACAAATCTCTATCAAAATAAATGAAGAATGGATGACATTTCATATTCAAAAGGTCAAAGGTAAACTTCACTGTATCTTATGATGTCGACATTGAATAACAATCTTTAAAAACATTGACGGCCATTATTTCACACTATAAGCCAGGAACAGAAGGAGGATTGTGACCATATTTCGCATTTGACTCGATACTGAATTGGTGACACCAATCTTGGGTGTCCACCAATTAAAGTCCTTCAAGGTCTTCACTTATTTCATGAGTCTGGATAGACATGGATGTAAACTGTAACTTGTGCGAGGCGGGGGTCAGGGGATCATGAAAGTCAGCAGATTATATTCTCCAGTCATTTTGATAGATTGCTCAAAATGTCGAGACAATCCATCTGAAAGGTATCTGGACACCGCCATTCCTACAGAAATGTAACATCACCAATTAAATGTTCTTGTGCCCCCACAACGTTCAAAATAGGTAGTATTGGTGCTGGATGGTGAATGAAATGGGTGAAAAAGGTTTGTTGGAAAAAGAGGAGGAGTTCAGGCAGATATCAGGGGTTTTAAAATATAGAGGCTGTATACTTCTATTAGTATTGCTATTAGCTTTGGACAACAACAACGACACAAACAGAGAACCTCTTTAACAAAGACTGTGTCAGTATCAGCTGCTGAACTCACATGGCAGGGAATGTGATGTTATTGTTAGACATATTACATATGAATATGCCTAATGATTCGTACTAGTCGATATTTGCTTTTTACACCAAACAGAGACATGAGCCCATTTGTTTGTCCCGTAAACAAAAAGGCGACTATTTTTGATACTTTACTGCTGAATCGAGACAGTAAACTATACTCATTTTGCAGAGGCGTTGTTCATGTGTT